ACCTTATTCGCTGGCCAGGAGAAGAGGAAAGTGGTGGCCGGCCGAGCTGTCAGCCGGACTTGCAAAGGCATTTGGTGCACACACAGGAGATTTATATCCTTTGGGGCTTTTGAGGAATATATTTACATGAAATTTTTAGGCCAACAGTCAATGGATACTTCTTTCGCTCCCACTTCTTGCAACTCCCTACAGGTTGTTGCACCTAATGGGCACCCTCATCACCAAACCAGGAGATGCAGCACACAAAATAGGAAGGTTACTCTTTGACTTTTGCTGAGAAAATCAAGATTTGCACATCTACACACTCCTACAGAGCTCATGACGTCGATAAAAGGTATATGATGCCTGCATTTCATTCTGTCAATCAGTTTCAATGCTCTCCATTATACACCTCTTTACTACGCACACAATGGCCAAACCATTCATGAAAATCTGGCCGCGGTGTATAGAAGTCTAGACAACACGTTCTAAAATAAAAGATAAAGTTATGCCAATCCAGGACATCAGCCAGACAGCATAAATGTTATCTTTTATTTTAGAACCTGTTGTGCAGTCTTCTCCCAATTTATTATCAGCATCTAAGCCCTGATGAAGGGCGAGTGTTGGACTCCCAAAATGTGTTGGTTTTGTTTTGTGTCCACTTGTGCAAGAAAAAGAGTTACAGGACTTACACGTTTTCTGTGGTGCTCTCCTTCTCTCTACATTTCTTTGACAGGTCACATGACTGTCCTCTACTTACACTTTCTTGGCATTTTCGCAACAGAACTTTTTGTTCAGTTCTGTTGTACACTACCGGTTATAGAGTCCTGAAGCCAGTGGAGCACAGAGCATAATTGTAAAGCACATTAGTGCGGCCGTATTTTCAGGATACCCTGATTATGTAGTGGCCTTGCACTATTTCACTAAAAACTGTGCTTATCTGTTAAATCACCGCACTTCACTGGACAAATCATTTCACTGTAGTCACTGCGCTCATACATTACTGAAACAAAATTAATTTTCTAGGTAATGGGTCAGTTATAGAAATATATTTATATATACATACACCATTCAGCCACATCATTATGACCACCCACCTAAATATTGAGTAGGTCCCCCTTTTGTTGCCAAAACAGCCCTGATCCGTCGAAGCATGGACTCCACTAGACTTCTGAAGGTATGCTGCGATATCTGCCACCAAGCCATCAATAGCAGATCATTTAAGCCTTGTATGTTGCAAGTTTTAATTATTATATGTGTGTGTGTGTGTGTGTGTGTGTGTGTGTGTGTGTGTGTGTGTAAGTTCATAATAAGATATAGTTAAATTCAAACTTACAAGAAAGACCACAGGGTATAAATAGGGCCAGGCCCAAATCAGCAAAGAACCTCTGGTTGCAATAGATAAAAGTCTATAGAAACAAACTCATAAAATCATTTGGGGTAATACATTAGTAGTAACGCCAAGAACAATTGTGTATTGTAAGCCATACCAACCAACTAACGATAAGCTCTACACAGATGTTTGATTTCTCATTGCTTGCCATGAGTTTGCACCCTACACTATGTTATTAATGTATCTGCAGCAATGAGAAATCGAACATCTGAGTAGAACTTATCGTTAGTTGGTTGGTATGACTTACAAGAGTGCCCGGAGGAAACCCAAGCAAGCACAGGGAGAACATGCAAACTCCTTGCAGATACTGTTCTGATTGAGATTTGAACTAGGGACCCCTCCGGGCACTCTGGTTTCCTCCCACACTCCAAAGACATGCTAGTAAAGGCAGGCTCCTGTCTAAATTGGCCCGTGTACATCTGCATGTGTGATAGGGAGCTTAGATTGTAAGATCCTTGAGGGCAGGGACTGATGTGAATGTAAAGCGCTGTGTAAATTGTCGGCACTATATAAATACCTATAATAAATAATGAATAAATAATTTAAAGCCAAAACCTTTTCTGTTTTTTTTTTGTAAAGTAGGTTTGGATCTCTGTCTGTGTCCTAGCTAGGTTTATCCCCTCTATTTTTTGACCACTGTCACCAACAAAGAAAGTGATGGGAAATCCAAAATTGTAATTGTAAAATTGTAAGAGAAGAAATCGAAATGTTAAAATGGGGGCATATGTTCTGGTGGCAGATGTCTAAAAGGCTCTTATCTTGATCATTGAAAAATACCCATCATATGCCTGTGTGGCAGAGTTGTGGTTTTATGCTGGTGAAGGTAGCAACTGTGTATAGTTTGTCAATAAAGATCCAAGTATTATGGATCATTTTAAAGCGACACTAAACTCAGGAGTTACATAGATGTAGTGATACACAAATAAGGTCCAATATTGTTATTAGTTGAGGTACTTGAATAGATTTTTAAGATTTAACTCCTGAGTTTAGTGTCACTTTAAAACAACACAGTTCTTTGGTGGAAATCTCAAAGTTGTGTATCCATTTCCTTTTGAATAACACCCTACTACAAACTGTCTAGGGCCTCATTCAGAGAGACATGCAGAGCCGTACAGTGTGCACACCCATGCAGAAACCTGCACCCAGGAGTACAGCTATTGTGTGCAACTGTCTGTACAACTCAATCACAGGACGCCGTTGTGCACAGGTAAATGCAGATCTGAGCACACCCCTGGACTTACAAGTTTGAGTTCAGGGTCGTGCTTTCATACCTCTAAGGGTGTACAGGTTCAGATCGCCCTTTACCATTATGCAGCTGCATTCTGAGTTGTGCATGTGACTGAATGCAACAGCCAAACTCCCAAACACAGATTTCAGCTCTGCATATCCATGTGAATAAGGCCTAAGAGGACATTTGCCTCATTTTGGGTGATTTCCTTCAACTTCCTGTTGTGTAGACAAGAAGTAGAAGGAAATCTCTTGAACAGGACACAGATGGCAAAAAACAGGGGTTTTACCATGCCTTACTATATCCAAGATGAAGAAAATGTCTGGATATAATTTTTAAAAAAAGCTCACAGTCCTATATATTAAATGAACAAAATGTTTCTGGCTACAAATGATCTTTTCTATTAGGAAAGCATCTTGATTTCTAGTTGGTTGAGATTGCATCACATCAAGCAGCAGGCTGTCAAGAGACAGAGAGGAATCTGGAGAGAATCCATAGATATAGAGTGGAATCTGGAGAGAATCCATAGAGATAAAGAGGAATCTGGAGAGAATCCATAGAGATAGAGTGGAATCTGGAGAGAATCCAAAACGTCAGAGAGGAATCTGGAGATAATCCATAGATATAGAGTGGAATCTGGAGAGAATCCATAGAGATAGAGAGGAATCTAAAGAGAAAGCAGAATCTAGAGGGAATCATAAGAGACAGAGAGGAGTTAAGAGAGACAGAGAGGAATCCAAAGAGAATCCAGAGAGACAGAGAGGAATCTAGAGAGAATCCAGAGAGACAGAGAGGAATCCAGAGAGACAAAGCGGAATCTGGAGGGAATCTATAGAGATAGAGAGGAATCTGGAGAGAATCTAAAGAGAAAAAAGAATCTAGAGGGAATCATAAGCGACAAAGAGGAATCCAGAAATAATCCAAAGATGACTCCGGAGAACATCCAGAGAGAAATCCAGAGAGAATCCAAAGAGAGAGCGAGGAATCGAATCAAGAGAGAAATCCAGAGAAACAGAGGGAAACAAACAGGAACCCAGAGAAACCGAGGAAAATCCAAAGAGAATTCATAGAAACAGAGAGGAATCCAAAGAGAATTCAGAGAAACAGAGAGGAATCCAAAGAGAATTCAGAGAAACAGAGAGGAATCCAAAGAGAATTCAGAGAAACAGAGAGGAATCCAAAGAGAATTCAGAGAAACAGAGAGGAATCCAAAGAGAATTCAGAGAAACAGAGAGGAATCCAAAGAGAATCAAGGGAGACAGAGAGGAATCCAGAGAGAATAACGAGAGAGAGCAATCCAGATAAAATCAAGAGTGAAAGAAAGAAATCCAGAGGAATCCATAGAGGGATCCAAAGAGACTGAGAGAATCCAGAAAGGAATTCAGGGAGACAGAAATTGATTCTGAGAGAATCCAGGGAGACAGAGAAAAACCAAGAATCCAGAGAGACAGAGAGCAATCCAGAGAGGCAGAGAGGAATCCAGGGAGACAGAGAGCAATCCAGTGCTATAAGAGTGAAAGTTTGGACAAGTAACCCGGTCTACCTATTTGGAGACGAATCTCTCTAGTGACTAGTGCTTCTCAGTACTCAGGGTAAACCGTGGGCCCGATGAACACAGGATAACCGTCTTGCTGTAACCCAGAATGAAAGAGACAGTCTGCACTGAGTATATTTTGCAAATTCCCTGGTTCCCTATCCATCTAACAGGCTGACAGCCTCAGACAAGCAGCTTTTCTTTCCAATGTTAAATATTTCATTCAGCAATTAGTAAATGGTGCCAAAAACTACCTATACAAATACCACTATTTGCCTGCTGACGTTCATCATTGACACAAATATAAGCCATATAAAATCTGACAGGTATTACAGTCAAGGACATAAAGGAGGTAGGCCCTGTGCTTATTGCAAAACCAAGATAAGTATAGGTTCAAATGTTCTTTTTTTTCTTTTTGCCCTGTTCTCTCCCGATGAAAACACCCTATTAGTAAACAATGGCCATGAATGTGCCTCTCATTAGCAGAAATGGGAAGATTAATTGCCTGACTGACAAATAAGGAAACGCGCACACTGAAGTGGCCTGAAACTGACATTTGCGATGCCGAGTTAAATGGCCTCTTGGGAAGAACTCTGATCAAGGGTAAATGGGAATGCTATGACTGGGATTACGAATGATCTCCTTTTTGGCGATCGTTTTGCACAAGCGAGACGCTGTCACTTGGCAGCGCGTTAACCCTTGCAGCGACACATAGGCCTTCGCTGCAATCTAGGCCCCTCTTGTAGTGGTGGGTTATAATGTTGATGTACCATCCTGCTTGTTACCTTCACACTGGCGGTGTGTATCTCTGCCTCCATGATCTGGCTGTTCTCCCTCCTGTCTTTCTTAGAGGAATTAGCCCTCACCTTATAAGTGGATGTGTTAGAGGATTTAATGAATAATCCTGGGACTGAGTTGGTTTGCTGAGACAGTGTGTTGGTCTGGTGTGGAGAGTTGGAATCCTCAGACTCTTTGCCACTGTGATACACCACTCTGCTGTCAGAGATGTGAATGCTTGGAGCACAGCCCATGCTTTTGATGCCTCCTCGGCCAAATCCAAAACCAGTGGGTGCCTTCAGTCTGTGCTGCCGATCGATCCTACTGGCGATGCGTTGTATGGTGCAGCCTGCGATGTGCTGCCGCTCCTCTGCTGCATGTCCCTACACCCGGGCAATGAACCAGAAGGGTAAATCCCAGGGATCCGGTGCTGTGGCTTCAGGAAAAGCTCTGTGGGCTCGGATCCTCCCGAATGATGGGGACATCAGGATGCCTAGTGGCATTCCACTCGCTCCATCCAGCCGATAGTCTTCCGCTCTCATCGACTTTCCTGTGCAGCATCAGCATGGCAACATTGTATCCGCGGATCGATGGATGTGACCAGGCAGCGAGCCGAGCCGCCGTCCTCCACGCCCTGTGCCTTGCCCTTCCCCGGCTACAAGTCGGACATCAGTGATTTTCCTGGGGCTCATAGGTGGATGTTCGCCATAGATCGCCCTCCCTGTCCCCTCTAGCAAGTCTTGGTGGGGACCCTGGGACTCCTCCTCATCACCATCATCTTCCAGCGGAGGAGGAAGAGGCTTATTTACATTTGCACAAAGATTCCCCTCTCCGCTCCCGGAGCCCCGCAAGCCGGACACTCATACCCCGGTCACGGAGCAGATGTTGGGGTGTCACACAAGGATGCCCGGGTCCCCCGATCTGTTCCAATGATGCTGTGTGCAGGCTGGGTTACATCGCACCGCTCTCCCCTCCGCCTGCCGTCCTGCCCTCCTCACTCTGTCTCCCTACAACTCCTCACCGCCGCTGTCACATTGCCACAGCCAATGGCAGCGCCACGAACGGGTGACCTCCAGCCTTTACTGACGTCAATGGAAATGAGCTGAAGGCGAACGAATCAGCCGAGCTCACCGCCGGGGTGGGAGTGCTACGGGCACGGAGGGGAGTTTGAACGGTTCCTGGAGCTTGTGTGTGCTGTCAGTGAGGAGCAAGGCACATGTATCCCAAAAATCAGCTTCACTAACTGAGAGATCCGGGTTCTGGGGTCTGTGTGTGCTGTCAGTCAGGAGCCAGGTACATGTACCCCAAAAATCAGCTTTACTGGCTGAGAGATCCGGGTTCTGGAGTCTGTGTGTGCTGTCAGTCAGGAGCAAGGCACATGTATCCCAAAAATCAGCTTCACTAACTGAGAGATCCGTGTTCTGGAGTCTGTGTGTGCTGCCAGTCAGGAGCCAGCAAACATGTACCCCAAAAATCAGCTTTACTGACTGAGAGATCCGGGTTATGGAGTCTGTGTGTGCTGCCAGTCAGGAGCCAGGTACATGTACCCCAAAAATCAGCTTTACTGGCTGAGAGATCCGGGTTATGGAGTCTGTGTGTGTTGTCAGTCAGGAGCCAGGTACATGTACCCCACAAATATGCTTTACTGACTGAGAGATCCGGGTTCTGGAGTCTGTGTGTGCTGTCAGTCAGGAGCCAGGTACATGTACCCCAAAAATCAGCTTTACTGACTGAGAGATCCGGGTTCTGGAGTCTGTGTGTGCTGTCAGTCAGGAGCCAGGTACATGTACCCCAAAAATCAGCTTTACTGACTGAGAGATCCGGGTTCTGGAGTCTGTGTGTGCTGTCAGTCAGGAGCCAGACACATGTATCCCAAAAATCAGCTTTACTGACTGAGAGATCCAGGTTCTGGAGTCTGTGTGTGATGTCAATGAGGAGCCAGACACATGTATCCCAAAAATCATGTTTACTGGCTGAGAGATCCGGGTTCTGGAGTCTGTGTGTGCTGTCAGTGAGGAGCCAGACACATGTACCCCAAAAATCAGGTTTACTGGCTGAGAGATCCGGGTTCTGGAGTCTGTGTGTGCTGTCAGTGAGGAGCCATGCACATGTACCCCAAAAATCAGCTTCACTCACTGAAGTGCAAACAATAATTCTAGAGCCATTAATCACTGCTGACACTAAATTGATGAGCGGTAAAAGCTTTTAAAGCGTCGCCTATGGGGGCATTTTGGGTATTGTTTTTTTTTTTTTTTTTGCGATTTCATAGGCGCGCGCAATTTTAAGGCTTGACATGTTTGGTATCTATTTGCCTAACGTGACCCCGTCTTTTATATTTTACCCCAAAAATTGGGTATTATATTCTGTTTCTGTGCACTGAAATTAAATTTAGTGTATTTTAGCCTAAAAATACTGGTTTGATAAACATTTGCGCAAATATAATGCAACATAAAACATTGCATCTAGCATTTTTTCTATTCTGCAATGCCTCTGTGTTCAGAAAATATATCATTGTTTTGGGGTTTTAAGCTGTTTTCTAGCCAAAAGTTCTGATTTTATGACATGTGTGCAAAAATTAAGAAAGTTCTCCAGACGGCAAGTGGTTAAGGGACCACAATCTTGGAAAATATATGTATCCTGGTAACTGTATGTAGTTGGTACTTGTAATAATGGTATTCATAATATGCATCTCTTTTTTTTCATATACATTTAGGGGTCTATTCACAAAGCTGCAGAAGGATCTAGCCGTAGCTTCGGCTCATCCTTCGGCCCCAGGACCTATTCAATATAGCCCGTACAGCTCCCGAAGTTGGCCGAGCGGCTCAGTCGAGCCGAAGGCATATGCCTAGGCTCGACTGAGCCGAGGTGAAAGCCGAAGCTGGCCGAATGGCTGGCCATTGGCCGACAGCCTGCTACTGACAGCTGGGCGGAGCCAGCCGTCATCACACGGCTGCTTTGAGCCAGTTGCAGAGACAGATCAGGTTCCTTGGTAACAAGGGGACGCTGATCTGTCAGTACCATGAGAACTCAGCAGAGCCGGGTTTGATACAACTGCCGACTCAAACAAGCTCCCATTGTAATGACAGCTGGTTCAGGCCAATAGAAAACAGTTGGGCGGAGCTAGCTGTCACTGCTAGCTCCGCCCAATCTTTTTCACATTTTTTAAAAAACTGTTTTTCTATTCTGCTCGGTACCACAGGGGTACCGAGCAGAATAGCTGAGCCGAATATCGCTTTGGGACGGTTATTCACTCGGCTGCCTACGGCAGTTTTGTGAATAGACCCGTTCTATATTTCTCCAGATTCATGTGCAGGACAAGCTGTCCAGCAAAAGTAGTGACATATATAAATGAAATATAGAGATTAAAGTTATTTTAAAATTGTAATAAATTGATATTCACTGAGCTGTCAGCTGCTTTTATATGCAGATAGGAGTTTCTAGCGCAGAAGTTTTTTCTATTATAGATTGGCCAGCAAAGGTAGTGAAATAGAGAGTAAACAAACTAAAAACTGCCTGGATGCCTATAATGGTCACTCAGTCATTCAGAACATTTAAAATATATTTAATAATATTATACAGGATTTATATACTGTAAACAGTTTGTGCAGCTCTTTACAAAATAAGGAGACATTACAGTTACAATACAATTCAATCTTTTAGAATGTAAGCTCTCACGGACAGGCCCCGCCTAACATCTTGTCTTGACTTGGACTGTAAATGTAATGTCCTCCATATATTGTAAAGCGCTGCGTATACTATTGGCGCTATATAAATCCTGTATAATAATAAGGGTTAGGAGGGCAGCTTACAATCTAAAGGGAATGTCAAGTGATACAAAAGGCATTACCTGCGGGGGGGATGAGCTAATAAATAAAGTAACATTTCAGTTGTTAGGTTGGATTGTCTTTCCTGAAGAAATACGTTTTCATTGATAGCCAAAAGGACAGAGTAGGAGACGGCCGTACAGTTGGAGAGAGTTTTAGGGCTCGTGCACACTAGATGCTGTGCATTCCGGCCCGATTTCTCGCATTGCGGCCGCCTCACTTTTTTGTGGGGCAGGAGGGGGCGTGGCAGGCCATTGAAGTGAATGGCACCATAGCCACTGCCTCCGGGCCGCAAAACAATCGGCTGCAATGCCATTCAATTCAATGACCTGCCATGCCCCCTCCTGCCCCACAAAAGGTGAGCAGGCCACGATGCAGTGCGTTCTGGCCAGATTCGGGCTGGAACGCACTGCATCTAGTGTGAACAAGGCCTATGGGGATGAGAGAGGCTTCAGAGAAGTCCTGGAGACAAGCATGGAAGGAGGTGATGGGGGAGCTACACAGCAGGAGGTCTTGGGAGGAGCGGAGAAAACGTTTTGGGTGATATTTTGAGGTGAGGATGGTGAAGTCAGGGCAGAGTTGTGTTTGGTTTTGCATGCTGTTATTATTATTATTATTTTGAATGTTATTCATTGGGCGAGTGAAAGCAGAGTGATTTAAATAGCACTTCTAATAGTGTTATAGTTTGCCCCAACAAATGTCAGTTTTGCTGGACAGCTTGGCCTGCAAATGATGGTAGAGGGAAATTTAAAAAAAAAGGCCATAAAAAACAAAAAAAAGAAACATATTCTAGATATCACCATTCAAAGTCACAACCCCATACAGTTACTAGAATGCAATATTGTTCAACAAAGTGGTCCTTCAGCAGGTTCTAATAATAATCCTGTTTATGAGATACCGATGAGCACATCTTGGGCTATCACAGTCATGATGGAGGAGAACTTAACACGAGTTATAGGACTTGATTTGAACATTTCATGCTGCCAGCACCCCCAAGCAAGGTTCACTCTCCCTTGCCAGCAAAACAATGCTTGCTGGCCTAAGCACAGTCATGGGGCTAGCACAGCTCTGCTCTTAAAAACAATCTCAGTGATCTAGATTTTGTCAAAATAGTAAGGGGATTTAGTTAACAGACAACGCTGTAAAACCAACTAAACAATAGTTCCTTATAAATACATTTCTGCACACCAAAAAGTAATTATTTAAAGGAGAACTATGAGGTGAGTGCTTTTCACTCACCTCATAGTTCTAGCTGACCTGTGACAATGAGACTGTCACAGGTCGGCTCAGTAGATCAGGAGGTGAGCGAACACATAACGGCGTTCGCTCACCTCTCGATCCTGTCACGGCTCTCTGCCGTGACAGGGGAGGGGCTTGATTCCCCCCTCCCCGCTCCTATCCACTAGCGATCTGACATCAGAGCCAGCTGTCAGTCACGCAGCTGGGCGGGT